TAATTTTCGATTGTCTCTTCTCGTTAAACAGCTACATAATTGTGGGCGTAATTCTCAAATACGTACTATTTTTTTCCTTATTATAAATAGAATCAAGTTCTTTTTATAGTCAATTTATTTCGAGAATGAAAAGAATCCACGTGTATTTAACTCGATACGGTTAGATGAAAGTATATAGTACAATTGTTAAAGAGTCACCGCAAAATTAGGTGTTTTGTCGACTAATTTTGAAGCGAATTTTGTGCCAAATGACTAGTCATGATGAGACAATAATCGCATAAAATTTTCAAGTTGAGAATATGACTGGTTTGCGAAATATAGAGGGTTAAAGTGGCACTAGAATCACATATATCGACAATTCGAGTAATATCGTTAAATCTCGTGTAATATCAAGATTGAAACGCTGCGACACGTTCGTTTTGGAAAGGCCGAGGCTGAGCAACAAGAGACAGATTCATTGTAACCGCCAACGAAGTGACTTCAACGAGACAGTGCTCCGAGTTCGATCCGTTTTTGAGTAAAGATGTACAGGCCGAGTTTTGTACTTTTCGCAACCGGTATATTGTCATTAGACACCGCTAATCTCCGAATATAGTGAATTGAAAATCTGGAAACTCTTCTGTGTGGCAGCGCGAGGTATAGAAACGAAATATATTTGTTGTGGAGTACAAGCAATGTGCCCAGCATGTAAAACCGATCGCTGTGTAATTCTTGTAGCGAAGACTTTGGTGTTCATTTTTCAAATATAATTTTATCTCTCTTGTTAACTTTTTCGAACAAACCATCGAAAGCAGTGTACATTACGTCACTACCCTATATTGTATCTTCACTGACCTAATATTCATGTTAAAAAGTAGTCCCGACAGTATTTGATGTTTTTTGAGTCGCTGATTACGAACGTGAAATCTGAATTCTAAAATTCAAAATGGCAAGTCCAATGTGAATTTTGGAATTCAGGCTTTAGATTCATAATCAGCAATCTAAAAGATCCCCGAGAAGCAATATTCGTTCAGATCATTCTGATTGATCCGACATACTATCGGAATTATTTTTTAACATGAATATTAGGTCAGTAAAAATATAATAGTGTCATACTTTCCCAAACGACAGGTACCACTTTGACCCCATATAGCCCGATTTTTCATGATCTGGTTAACTTGTGGTTAAGCTTAACCTGATGCTTCATCCAATGAGCTTTATCCATGACATCACCATAGATGAAGCCCATTGGATAAAACATCAGGTTAAGCTTAACCACAAGTTAACCAGATAATGAAAAATCGGGCCTATATGTCGCAAACCAGTCATATGGTCAACTGAAAAATTGTATGCAATTATTGTCTTATCATAACTGTAATCATTTGGCATAGAATTTGTTTCAAAATTAGAAGTTCAGAAAACGGGCAATTTTTGCGGTGGCTCTTTATTACAAGCCTTTCTTTCTTCTCAGCTAATTTAAGTTATATAAACAAAAATTTTTTAATATTTTAAATTAAATTTAATTGGAATCATATGTTGGAATCAAATTATATAAAAGAAATTGATATAATTTATAATTATCAAAAATTTTACGATACAACGTGTAATTATACTATTATATATTTATTCTATCTATATATGTAATATTTGTTATATTCCGTTTTAGTCGGACTAGAATGTAAAGATTTGAAATGTCAGTTATTGAAAGTATTGACTTTTTATTTTTTAGTGACCTTATTTCAGAATGTCTAATTATGTCAATTAAAAAAAATAGACTAGTTGACTAAAATCTGTTTTTTATTCAATTAAATTATAACTACATTTTTAATTATTAAATATCACTGCTATTTGAATGTATTAAAATATCAATTCTATTTAAATATCGATTCTGGCGGATGAATCATCAGAAAAAAGTTATACATAGTATGTATGAGATATTAAACAAGATGTTTCGCTACGCGAAAACAGTACACAAGTTGATTCAGAAAATTTCTTTTATGTCTTTATTAGATAATAATAATCTATTTATTATTAAAGAATTTCTCGATCTTACATTCGATAAACCAAAATAGTTTTAAACCGAATAAACATATTTTATTCTGTTGAAAATCTATATATATATATTATAAAAAACTGTTAATATTTTTTTATAGTTTTACTATAATTTTTCAATTATATGTATAATAGATATCAGGATTTTTCTTCTTAACTTTTTATAATCAAATTTTCTATAAATAAATTTGAAAAAAGTTTTTTAAAAAATTATTTATTCTTATAAAAACTGTAAAAAAGACAATTTTTATAAAAGTTTATTTTGTGTTGCTATTTTGTCAATGTTTTTTTTAATTTCATAGACTTAATCGAGAGACAAAGATTTTATTAAGAAAAACATATCTATCTGTTATATTTCAAAATTTGATATTGTTAAGCGGTAAAACAAAAAAGATTTTTCTTTAAGTACTTATCTATTATTTTTTAAACAAATAAATATTTTTGCAATATGCGATATTAGATTATTGTCTTCGTAAATGTATAGAGGAACTTATGTAAAAGTAAATTCGTTCATATTCATTATTATAATAATTTGCGAGCGATTTCCTGCACTTACACATATTTTTATATAAGTAAAGGTTTTGTGTCTCCTTAATTTTTTATACATTGTTATTTATTATTGTCCACGGCCAATATAGAAATAAAATCTATCGTCCCCTATCAAACAAAATGTGTTTTCTATTAACATTAGCAGACTAGAATATATTAATAAAAGCGTCAGTGGAGTGTCTTCATTATAAAGGATGTGTCGATCCATGCGAATCGTGGACACGGCGTTTTCTCGCGAGGGAGGAAGTGGGAAGCACTACCATGGCAGGACCAGTACACACATCATATCATGGGGAACGTATCGAATTTCTTATGGCTTCTGTGTATTCTCATGGCAGGAGGTCAGAGATGCGTGCACGCATACAAGGTGTTCATGAATTAACGCTCATCCTAAAGCGACTTAAAAAAAAACTAATGATTTATATCAGTATTTAATGTATAACATTGTCGAGCTAAACTCAAATTTTCAAGAATATATGAAATCTATCTTCGCGTATATATATACTACATCAACAAAACTTGAATTCAATGAAGTTTAACTCTAATAAAAAGCGTGTAAAAATTAAATTATTTTCCGTAATCGTTTTCCTAAATATAGATCCGCAAAAGAAACAAGTATATGTATTTATAATTCGTGAAAAGTTTGCGCAAATTAAATAGATCATTCGAAATTGATATGAGAATTATTAATTCCAGAGTAAAATACGTGTATCGGAAACTTTATGGTCACTCTGTAAGCATCACTCATGACGATGAATCTTATAGACTTATCCGATGGCTTTGCGGATAAATGTGTATGGCATCATTCGTCGCATATTAATTACAGGAAATCTCGCAAAACACCTCTGCTTCCAAATCTCCCCAAAATCGCAAAAATATCCGTTCAATCATTCAATTACATTCGCACGTGATTTCGCGAATATTTATCTTCCAATTTCTGTGTGTATAATGGATTACTTTAAATAAATCTTCAGCTTAAAAGAACTTTTAGCAATTACACGCTTGAAAAAGATTTAATTGGAGCATTGATTGGAATTCTGGTTCAAAGTGAAAAATTATTCTCAATGAAATGTTAAGCTATAATTATCTCATTAATACTATAATTTATTTCATTATAATAATTATAGGCCGGTATTTATAGTTGATTGTTATATTTAAGATTGTCTCAAGTATAGTTTGAAGATTTCACGAAACAATCAGAGGCCATCTCAAGACATTACTTAAAAGATAGGCTTGCTGATGGCTAATCAGTTGCAAGCTACTATTGTCGATTGTTCCACATTTTACGAGTACTTTGTGTAACCTTTTTAGTTTTTGCTTTGCGATAAAGTTAAATAAGATGAAATAAAAATGAATAGGTACCAAATTTTCTTTACAATTTAACGCTGATATCAAAAATAAATAAATTTCATTAATGGAGACAAGAATGTAGTTCGCGATGTATAACTTTCGGAGGTTTCTCTCGCTATGGATTTATATCCAGTCCAATCTATTAATCAGTCGACTGAGACAGGGAAGCGTGGCACACTTTTGATCACCGTAATGACTCGTCATCGTTTCGCCGTGACGCGACGCGCTAAGTTTCGCGGAAGAATTCGCGGGAGATTGGCTCTGTCGGCGGCCCAGATGGCCCAGCTGGTACTTATTTATTTATTATCCGCTCGTTCGCTCAACTCGGCAAAGGAAAGGACGGCCGCGTGCACGAATATGTATAATGTACGCGACACGATGCTCTCGCTACGCGACGGAAGGCATCGCATTACGTACATAGTTATGGGGCCTTCGCTCGTTTCTAAAATCGGATGTAGAGCAATGACCTTCCGAACAACACGGGACTCCTACGGGCCGATCGTTTCTATCCGCGAGAGACGAAAATTCCACAATAACGTGCCCGTCAATTGTATAATACATCTATAGTATTTATACTGTCGAACGTAGAAATATAGCCGGATATTATTTACTTGATAAAGTACTTAATAAAATAGTTACGTTCTCTACGTTCTCACGATGTACGTCACATTTATCAATTTTTAGGAATTACGTTAGTTACGCATCGTGAACTGTTAACTATAATGTATTCTGTTATATATATGATTTAATATATTTCTATTCGATCTATTTAATAAAATATTTCAACGGAAACATTTAACATAATTTAGTTTGAAGAAAATGTAGAAGAATAGAGAAAATCCGATTTCCGTTGACCTAATTTCACGCTCGTAATATTTCTTCGGTGTAAAAGTCGCTCGTTTTTTAACATCTTTAAATTCTCACTCTTTTTTCATGATTTTCTTTTTTGCATAGTTAAATTTGACGTGGATCGTTGCACGCTTTTGTTCGTTCTAGACATTTTTATCAGAACGAAGCACACATTCCTTCCTATCTTACGGTTCTATCGAGACGAAATCACAAAGACTCACCTATGCTCGGCAGCGCGATCTCTCTGTCTCCTATTTTTGAACCAATTACTGACTTGCGTGGTGGTAAGGCCGGTGCTCTCCGCCAAATCTCGCTTTTCGCGCGGCGACGGATACGGATTGTTGGCGTACCATTCCCTCAGGACGCTCCTGGACTTCTCTTTGAAGCAGTAAGACGTCTCTTCGCCGTCCCAGATGGTGCGCGGTAGCGGAAACTTACGGCGCACCCGGTACTTGCCTGCAAGGAAAAAGACGAAGTCCTCCGCATAAGTGAGGATATTAATTTAACATCTTTTTCGAAGAAAACACAAGATAAAAAGACAAATTTAAAAGCGTCACCGTCATTGCGGTACCGTCAAGAATGTCAGAAAGTATTCTATCGCTCAAGTCTATACCTGTATCTTTTAAATACACACATTTTGAAGTTTCCAAGATAAACGCACTTTGGTACTCCGGCGAGTGAAAATTTTCACCGCGCGCACGCGGATTCGCGACGCGCTGTGAAAAACGGAAGAGGAAGCAGCGCGGCGTGTTACGGCACTCCGATTCTCTCTCAGCGCGCGCACACAGCGGCACGCTTTGTTTCTAGCTTCTCCTTTTTGAAGACGGATTTGGTTTCTGGGCCGAGTGCAACGACGGCGACGTCGTCGGTTTCACGCGCGACGCGCGCCGCTTGCGAGTCGAGCGAGTACAAAATAGGGCCAAGTCTATGCTGCTCATTAGCTGGTGCGCGCGATAATAACTTCGTCCGTCCGTTAATGTCAAATATTCGCGCGGCGTGCATTTCGCCCATTGTTTGCAATTACCGCGCGGAATGTCCCAAAAGTTCGAGAAAAATATAAATGCGACGCGCGCGAGCACCGTATTAAAAAGCGAGACTTTTATCTCGGCGGCTGCTCGCCGGTATCGTTAGTGCAATCCGTAAGTTTAATCCGCAAAGCAATATCTTATATTGAGTATCGGATAAATTATTCATAAATTATCATATGCCGTGAATTATTAAAAATTTTAAAAATTTCTTTAGTCACACTGACGATGACATTTATACAATATTATATTTCACCAGTAACATATGTATATATGTACTTCGAGGATGATATAATAATAAAGATCACATCTTGAGAATATTATATTAAAAGGATCATTAATTTAATGAGATGTGCGACATAGAGTTTCGTGTCCACTTGGACTTTCTGATTTTAATGAAGAAAGTTAATCATTGTCGACAAAATGTATTACTCTATTTTCAACGACTTTTTGATTTTCATATAAACGTTCTATGATAAATTTATTTATTTCCAAAGAGCGGTTATTTATCGTGCTGCATATATTAAACCTATTATTTTTTTCTATTCTCTTTTCACCAATCAATGTTAACTAATTTGTGAAACTTAATAATCATTGATACAAAAACGAGAAATACTTATTTAATAAAACAATTAAAATTTTAGAAGGGAGCAATTAACGATCGCGTTATTAAGAAAAATATTATATTGTTGAATTCGCTTAAAGAAATAATCTCTATACACTTATCGTTTTACTTACGTACGTACAGCAAAAAAAAGACCATTAGAAAATTCTTACTAACCAACTGCGCCGAGGGGCCTGCCGCGCAACCTCTCGGCTTCGATGTAGTGGGCCTTGAGCCAGAGATTCTGCAACTTCGGATGATTGTTCGGGTTGAAGGTGTGGCTCTCCAGGATCCTGTAGAGCTCCTTGAATTGGCCCCGATGAAAGGCAACGATCGCCTTGGCTTTGAGGACGCTCTCATGCCGGTGCAATCTGGTGCACGCCGGCAGAGACCATAGAAATCGGCTGAGCCTCTCCACGGAGCCTGCCTGCTGGAGAACCTGGACATTCGACACCATCGCCTTGAAGACGATAGACAGGGGGGGCACACTGTTAGTCGGCAAAACTCATCCCGGGTCTCCTCTTATTCTAGTGTATCTTGTATATGCTCATATTCACCTCTTTTAGCTGATCGTTTCGTTCAAGGAAGACGAGTTAGACAACTACCAATGACTAACAGATTGGTCGGGGCAATTTTTGTGTAAAGGGGAACTGTGAGAATTAGGATGAGAATTACAGCAATTGACAGTTACAAGGCAATAATCTGTTGTTTGGAAGAACCCGGGAAAAATTAACCTTGACAAAAAAAAAACATTAAGTTTAGATCAATTTTCTTATATTTACAATTTTCACACCGAGAAAATTAATCTAAATTTAATTTCCTTCAATTTTGAACAAAGTGGTATATACAAACTATTGTTACATTCAATTTAATTATTTACAGAATGTTAAAAAAATTATAAAGAGACATAAAACAGAATGCTATAACGAAATAATCTAAAATTACATAAAGGAGCTAAAAAGTTACAAATTCAAACAATTTTCGATTCGAATTAATTATTAATTGAATCGCTTAACTGTGATTCTTAAATAGAAGAAAACATTAACTTTTGTATAAAAACTATAGTTTGAACGGGTACAAAAGTTTCTTAGTTAATTAGTTATGTTATTAGTTATTTTATTAGAACTCCTTTAAGAGGAACAAATTGACGCAGTCATAGATAGAACTGGTATCTTTTGTATTTGGAACTTGTCTTTTCTTTAATACATTACGACTATTTAAGTTAAATCTTAGATAACTCTCTGTATTCATATAGCATTTTTGATAAAAAAATTAGTGTGGAATAAATTAATTTATTTTCGCCCGATTAATTCTTTTTTCTTAACAAAATCAGTATCTATTTAACTTCAATAAAAAAAGAACTTAAAAAATTAGTCATGTGAACACTTTTTTAAGGTAGTTATTAAATATTTATAAAATAGATCCATTTTTTGAGAAATTTTTGAATTAAAAAATCTAATTAAACTTGTAAAACAACTGGATGAGATTTAATATTATATGGAGATAAGGTTTCAGAAGTTTGAAGAGGAATGATTCAGGATGTCTACCTTCAATGCCGATATATTGACAGTCGAATTTCAATTAATTAAATTTTTGCGAGCAAGCAGAAATGAGTCTCGTGTCTTGGAACAATTAAAATAATCTAATACATAATTTCGTGAATTTCTTGGAATATCTCAAATGGTACAATTATTTACAACAGTCGGTGGTTCCTTATGTCAAGATATTAGAATTTATATATTATATATATATATATATAATCATAAGAGAGAAAATTCTATTGCATTCAGTTTGTGTATTTCTACTAGAAATATAAACACACCACGTAATAATGCGAAGCTATACGAAATCGCAAAAATCGGTCTAATAAAATAATAAAATTAAAGTACGAAAATTCATAAAACTGTTACAGTTTTAATAAAAGAATATAATTTGATGGAGAGAAAATCTGATAATTACTAATATGTAAAATTACACTCGACATATCTGTCACGTTTAACATTCGTATAATTTCTCGAAACGACCATTAATGAACTTAAACGATCGCGTAACACGATCCTAAGTGGAACTATACATCAATTTTATTTCGTCATATACTTCAGTTCGTTTTATCGGTACGAAACATATTATCCCTTGCGTGTTTCTCTCGTTGACATAATTAACCATCGAGGATTCCGTTTGAGAAATGAGCTATCTATAATATTTGCCGCGTATGTCTGCTTTGCATCACTGACATTTATTTGATATATCACGCGCCATATATAACCAGTCTAGATATCACCGTATTACGTATCTTTAATTTATACATAACTGATTTGCTAGATGCACACAGTACTATTCGTAAAATCGATACGTTATCGATACATGCAATATTAAATTTATATTTTTGTAAATAGACGTGTTTGACCCTAATTGTCACTTTCTTGATATAAGCACACAGATTCAGAGAATATTAGGTCTATATTCATCTTTATATCCTTTTTCCTACGTTTTTCAATAATTGCAGTTATATATATATATATATTTCAAAAAATTTAATTTTATATATTATATCAATTTAAATTCATGAATCTTATATACGTTCAAAGAAAGTTGATATCGCAGAGAATCTCTCGAAATTTCCTTTTAACGTAGAAAATTAATTGCCGCGAAAGTACCGGCACGAAATTAAGACGTCGCTGATCATATACTGAACAAGTCTGATGATCGCTTAATTAGCAATATGAGCTCTGTACACCTGTCATCTTTGTCTGCTCGCTGTCGCCGCCGGATGTCGCCGAATTTTCCGCAACACGGCCGATTAATCTTACCGCGTGGCATAATGAGGAATGAATGTCACGTCACTTAAACGAAGAGAAATGTACGACATAGATCTCACGATCGGATTAACTGTCAACGATGGAGATGCTGATTAGAAAAACCGCTGAGTTAATTCTTCCTCTCTTTTCAAACTGAACAACACAGAAGTTCAATACGTAATAATAACAATTTTTTATATACTGATACAAAATTTAAGAAAAATTTTCCCACTTTCTCCATTTGAAATTTAATGACTACTAACAATATTTCAATCTCAACGGATAGTGGCTATATTGTATTTAAATTATCTTCGATACGTAATCGAATGTGCATTTATAATATAATTAATAATTTTATTCGAAGATGATTAATGTAAAGACATTAAAAATAGTTGAAATTAAGATTAAAAATGACTGAATCTGAAATTATATAATTCAATTCGGACTAAGCTGGGATTGAAAGTCGATGTTCTAGAATAATTTAGTCAGATTTGGGAAGGAATCATTCAGTCGTATCATTTCTCCTTTTTCTCTAGTACAAGATTTCATTATACGATTCGACAAGAAGCGGTTCGGCCGACACCTGGTGAAACGTTGATTTCGTTTATGCTTTGAAGGAGGAACTGTCATGGGTACCTCGAATGATACAAGACAACTAGCGCCCACGTGTCACAGCGTATGGCAACACAAAATGTATCACAATATTTTTAAACAAATCGATACGCGACGGGCGACTCCAATGTCGCGGATCGCTCATGCCACAACCGTGTGGAGCCCTTAGCGTTCCTCGAAGTCCGATCGCAGAATTTGAGCGCCATAATTGTCTGTGCGACGTGGGCAAGGAGTTAAAGTCTAGCCGCATAATTATAGCGCTGGTATACAGGGGTAAGTATGCACGTGCAAGAACGCGTCGTGCAACGATGCAATTTGTGGCCGATCACTTCCGCATTTGGCAAACCCATCTTTCCGCATGCTCGTTATCTTTACATGCGCTACGGCACCGCCGCACGATTCAATCGTTCGTGAAATATTTTCACAGCGCAAAGTATAGAAATTAACTCTTAATATTCACACGCCTACGCGGTGTAAAGGGAAAGAAATTAAATAGACGGCGCGGCAACATAAAAACGTAAAAGGCATTATCCAAGATGTATTTTAAATATATTTAGATATCTCTACACACGTCACTTGGATTAAAAAGCAAAATAAATTCGATATATCTATTTGCTCATCTATAATCTTACGTTTCTCGATTGAAACAATCCAAACAGTTACGCGAGCAGATTTATCCGATTTGTTTAAGCAAATATTCACTTTACTAGTATTTATACCTATTTTTATTTTCAATTTTGTCAAATGAATCGTTTGTCACTTAAATTCGAGACTGCATTCAAAGTGCAACTCCGACGAGTGTACAGTAAAGAATCATTGAAAATTTTGCCAAACGCGGAAAGGATCGCCTCTCTCTCTCTCGCTCTTTTTCTCGAACAGGACGAGTTAACATGTGGGACGTTCGATATGAGGGACGTAAACGTCGCACGCAAAACAATTTATCGTTACAGTAAAATCGTGCAGATTCCATTAAGCGTGTGACATGCAAGCGAATCTTGGCGCATAACGCTGCACAATGTCGGCGACGTATAACGACCGTCGTAGCGGCAGAAATTTCATCATCGGGACGTAGTTCCTCTCTGATTCCGCACTTTACAACGACAATCAACACGAAAGCTGGATTTGTGTATGCAGTAGCGGATCGAAGAGAAGCAATTTATTTCAATTTGCGACATTTAAATAAACCCGCGGAAACTTGCACGAGGCATACGAGGCTCTCGCGCGATGTTTATCGCGATCATTAACGATAGGAGTCTAACGATATCACGTTTCGACGAGACCAAAATCGACCGGTATTATTCGCCGAGGTAAGTGCAGCGATCGCTAGCCAAATTTCCCATCAGCCGCTCATTGTTGTAAGCGATGTATCGCGAATATTGCGCGCATTTCTGGCAATCCTTTTATATTTTTATTCGTAGGTTATATATACGATAAAATTATAAGAGCAATGCTGTTGCTTTTGAAGCGCCGAGTCATGTTCGGTGCAAAACAATTGACAACAAAATGAATCATCGAGTTGCACGAAGATCAATCGTACTAAATAATTATCGCGATTGGATATATGAAAAATGTTTATATCTACGTCTAGATTTTAATTGAAATGTGAATGGATAAGCACGCTTACTATAAACGCGACGCATAGCATTAAACAGCTGAATGCAGCAGGCGCGTGTTATACAGCTAGAGATCCTCTAATAAGAGTCACGAAACAACGTTGAATTTATATTAATTAGACGAGTAACGTTTCAGTAATGCTTAGAAGTTATCCTGATTCATCAGACATTCTTTGATTGGACATATTTCTCAGGTTTTTTGTCAAGTAAATTTAGAATCACAATCTAATCTAATTATTAAGTAAAAATAATAATCAAATTAAGGAGATTCAATTATTAAAATTCTTTTTGCTGATTTTTTGGTGCAACCAGGACACAACTTGACTTATGCGTTATCCTAAAGTTTGCATATTGTTATACTGAGAAAAATGTTCTGATTAAATCAAAAAGACACAACAAGAATGAATGACATTTGATGAGATCAAACAAAATTTCTGATTAACATAACTAGAAATTCTGTTCGGTCTCATTAAGCCCTTTTGTCTATTAGGTTTTTTTATTTAAAAAAATAATAAAATAATAAAAAGAAACAGAGCTACGAGCCTAAGTCTTTTTAATTAGAACATTTTTTTCAGTACACAACACACAGAATAGCGCATAAATCGAGCTATCGTTGTTACGCCAAAAATCTCACAAAATGTTAGAATTTTGTTGGTTTTTTTTTTTATTGTATAGAACATTTTTTTTTTCACGACTAAACACTGGGCCAGTTTAAGTAGACAAAGCGAGACTTGCTTGCCGAGCGAATGAGCATGATTGATTCTTACACGTGGATCCAACCAATCATGTTTAATTATTCGACAAGCAAACTTAATCGCTTTGCTGCTTTAAACATCCATTATTAATAATTTAAGAATCAAAGCTATCTTGTACTTGAGCATAATTACAAACATGGAAGATAAGCGGCCACTTCAATCCAAAAGTTGAGGGGCATTTTATGGATGTCTTTCATTTTTTAGTGACACAAATCGTCACAAATGTCGTCCTTCTCTTTGTATTCCACAAGTAACAAAGACAGAAAACGATCGACTAGTAACGATTTGTGTCATTAAATGAAAAACGGCCAATAATAATCCATTACTGAAGTTTTAAGTCTTAAGTCGAAGGAAATCGACTAACCATGATCGAGAAGAATAATCAATTATAATTGATCACAATTAGTTGGTCATCTAAGCATCGGTATCAGTGTTGAAAACCTGTGTTTTCTCCCTCTTCTCTTCATTTTTTTTCTGTCTTCAATTCGCTCTCGTCCGTCATATACTCACATTTACTTAATTATCTTTCTCACGATAACCTTCCAGCGAGAAACCCGTTTTGAACGCTCGCGTGTCATTCGGGATACGTTTTCGTGTCTCTTATCGGAGGAACTCCACGAAACAGGCGACCACACGACTTACCTCGCAGACACACGCCACTTGCTCCTGCGTGAAACCAAAACTCGGCAGCTGGCCGTTACCGCTGCCCCCGGCGGAGCTCGCCGGGCTATCCTGGGGGCTGTAGCTGGCCGCTCCGGTTACGCCGGGCGTGTAAGCGTTCTCCACCGTGCTACCCGTGGTCGAGTGTCCGGTCAGGGGTGTGGGATTGGGCGTGCTCTGAGGGCTGTAGTCGCCGGCAGTGGTACCCAGGACATCCGCACCACCGCCGCCGCTGCCGCCGGACGTCGGGCCCATCGCGCCCCCGTTACCAGCGGTGCCCCCGTAGGCCATCATGGCTGCGTCATCTCCGGGGTCCACGACGACCCCCCGCACGCCACCGCCGCCCTCCACCGTTGTGACACGATCGTCCTATACCCGCTTCGCGTTTGCGACTACGACGAACCGCGTCACACCGCTCCCGGGCTCTCCGGGGTCCGACGCTACACGCGAGAGGAAGCCCCCTTTACTCGCCGCTCATTTTCCGCGGGGTGAACCCGTCACTGCGGATTCCTGGGGAGTCCGAATGAGAGCATCGCTTACAACGCGCCCAATAACGATTCGAGATCTCTCGCCAACTCAGACTGAACCGCTTTTCAAGTTAGTATCTATTATTGACTTATGCACGTGTCAAAGGATGACATGCGAGATGAAGTCCGTATAAGAGGCAATAATTAAAGCCGCCAATTTAGGTACTGACAGCAGTTCGATCGCACACTTATTGCGTTACCCGTCGCAAATTGATCGCTAGTTTAATTACTGCTGATTATTATAATTATCGTTAAACACGAAATGTGTATCTTCTCCTTTCCTACGTACACTCAGATCTTCCTTAAACGCCTGTTTGTGTCTGTCATAGTCATATCGATTAAACCATATTCAATTAACTGAAACAATTGAGTATGTAAATTCGTTGCACTTGCAGCGTTACGTGAAACAAGAGAACACTGTGAAGATCCTTTACATTCCGTTTGATGAACTGTCGTTGAATAACGCTGAGATGATTGTACGCCTTTCCGAGGCATTACTCATCGATCAGCGATATTGACAGATCGAACTCATTAGTCTCGTTCGATCGAAGATCACGTAAAGATCCTCACTAATGCGCGATATTTTCAGCTCTCGCCGTCACTGACGTCGCCAAACATCGTAACCGGAAGCAGAAAGAGGTCCAACGGAACGTGATTCTCTTCAGTATCAGTCTCGTGATTAACTTCGAACCGACGCGGTCAGTCAATTCATAGATCGAAGTCGCGGAGCACGCTCGTTCTCAATAGTCTCTGCGAGCTGGCGTTAACCACGCTTGAAGAAGCAAAAAAATGGCTACTCCAACGTTGCCGTGATCTTTTCGGATATCTCCCTTCACAACTCGGGTTTTCGCCAGGACGTCGCTCCTGGGGGCACAGAATATTGTAATTTCCGAGGACGAGATCGTAGATTCTAAGCGGAAGAGCCAAATCGTTCCAGGCGATGGTCTTCAATTCGTCTTCGACGAATCTCGCCTGTCGTTTTGATATACGATCGGCTCGCGACCATTCATGGAAATATTCATGGAACTCGCACACACGCACACACACACAGTTGATGTTATGTCATTCCCGTCCCCGAGAAACACTTCCGTCGAATTGATACGCCCGATCGATGAGGTGTTTTTCTTCTATCCGTCCGTCCGTGAATTTTCTTCCGACTCCGCTGCCTTTTCTTCCTGTCTCGCTCTCACTGCCCACACACACAGGTTGTACCGTGAAATCCACGGGCTCGTGTTTCCACGGGGCCGCAGAGCAGCGCTCGTATTTATAGACTGCTTGGTACACTCGCGAGCGTGCTGTTATTATTAGAGGCGCCTTAACGAGCGTCTTCCTCGCTCTCCTTGAACCCCATCGACGTCTCTCGTCGTGACGCTCTCTCCATGAAAATGTCACCAAACCGCTTTTTCACCTTCAAATTTCCACCTTCTTGAACATCACTTGACAATTTAATGGCGCCCCTCTGTACGCAGAATAAAAGTGCAACGCTTCTCTTCACTCTTCTTATTAATGAAGCAATCGAGCGATGTGTGTGGAGACAATCATTGGCCGTTGCGTCTTCACGTTCTCGCTGTATTCTGCGTCCGAAGAGCTAAGAATCGACACTGATTCGAGCACTGAATGGTCTCTAGTGCAAGCTAAGAATCTGGTCTCCGATCGTAGTGGTCTCTCAGAATCATGTCTCCGCGAAGAACGGGTGTGCCCGGGAAAATCTCTTCGGCCGATTCGTTCGATTAACCCGCCGTCGTTTCGAGCGAGGTACTCATCACCAAAGAAACAACACCGACTGCGGCCGGGAAGAATCGTAGAGTACCGCGGCTTCCCGGCAAGAGTCCGCATGAACGCGATTTCACTTGCGATTTCACACACATACACACCACACACACACACACACCGGATCCGTCTCCTAAAGTGACTCCGATTCGGCGATCTTGATTTAAATCACGTCTGGACAAGCAGACCTCGCGAGGCGGCGGATCAATGAGGCCGTTCTGTCTCTCTCGCTGCCGCGCGAGAGAGAAATACTCTCCTCACGCGCGCACCAGAAGGGACTGGCGACGCGGCGTGTTAGCGAGGCGAGCCGAGTGCGTCATGCGCGACGCGGTACGGATTGGTGAGGGGCGTGGCCACGCTGACAGCTGTGTGACGCGCGACGCTATTGGTCGTTGGGCGTGGCCACAGCCACCATACCGTCGCGCGATTGGTCGCGTGCACGCCACCAAATGAGCCTCGTTACGAACGTCCGGCACGAGCGATGAGAAAGAGAGAAAGAGAGAGGGCCACAGCAATGGAGAGGGGGGAGAGGGAGAGAGAAAGAGAGAGAGAGAGAGAGAGAGGACACGCGAGCGAATTGCATCTAGACTGCTGCAGATCCTTCCGAGGAGCTCGTTAAATTCCGGCCTTTTCTGGATGTCTGTTCTCTTAATGACGCACGCACGGCGGGGACGACGCGATTTTTACGTCGATGCGTGGCGCGAATGTTATCCGCATGTAAATCTCGAAATCACGCACAGGTATAGAACAGTTCCTCGTCAATTATTTACTTTTTTGTCGGACAGTCTCGAATGGATTGTAAAAAGGACGGCAAAAATGTATGTGTAGATTGAAGAACGGAAGAAGAACGGGAAAGCATATATTGCTGTTATCGCTACAGATTAAAGTTTCTTATTCTCTCGCATCGGTTAATAGAGATTATTATTACAGATTTATTACAACTGAGACATATACCTACACATACATAGATAGATGAAACGCGATCAATTGACGAAGCGTTAAGTACATATCGTTTATAATATTTATATACATAAAGAGTGATTTTGCTAAAGTATTAAAAAATTTAACTTAAAGATACACACAAATATGAAAATTAATTTGTTGGATTATCATAAACCATTAAAATAATTATATAGATTGCCAAAATATTAAAACTTCTTCTTGTAGTATAATTGCGCATCGCATGTTTGCTAATACATAATCATTTTGATAATCTAACAAAATTATCTTCAAATCTCAGTATCTAGCTAAATTTTATAGATACTTCAGCAAACTCATTTTTTTTTGTTATGTAAACAAACGCCTTGGAGTACAGTAGATTACGAAATCTCATAGTATCGCAAAAAGTCCAAAATTCAAATTTGCCATTCAGCGAAATTTATTTATACATACTTCACGAGATAAATAGCGTCGGAATGCTCATGGAAAGAATGATTTTGCTGTTAAAAAATTTAGATAGATTAAAAATAATTTAGTTAGACTTTAAAATAATTGTGTATAGAAAACTCATAAGCATGGTAAACAATGCTGCGAAAAATTTAGACGTTCTAGCAATTAGTTTGAATATCTTACGTAATCATTTTGACAGTCCAACCAGATTTATTTTCAGATCTAGTTAAACTTTTTAATATTGTAGCAACACCATTTTTCCCATGCGACAACGCAGTCATTTGCAACGCTATCGCGCTATCAGAGGTATAGAGAAAAGGCTCCTATTATGAGATACTGAGTTTACTTTAAGTAAACGCTAGAAGTTTGTCGGCAGAATTTAAAAAAATAATAGGTCATTTTGAAGAGAATTTAATAAGCTTGAAGATAGTGTTATGTAAAATTTAATTCAAATTTTACTTTATTTTTTTAATTAAAGAAATGTAAAAGGTGAACAAATTGCAAAGTCGAAAAATTGTGCTCCTAATATGAGATACCCCGAGAAATCGATAATAAAGCACAAAGTACATCAATATTAGAATTAAAAAAAATTTATTTGATGTTTCTAAAATACCAACGAGTACAACTGTTCGCGTAAATTGAGTATGTGATGCATTGTACGCAGGATTTGTCTTCAGTAGTAATTGGAACGAAGTATTGCAGAAACAGACCCTCAATGTTCATTCCGGTTATTCTTTTTATTATTGTACAATAACATTTATACTTTAACATCGATTTTCACTTGGACACAGAAGTATAGATTATTTCATATTAGAAATATCCTGGGTATCTCATATTACGAGTATCACATCTTACAGTCTTACGATCATCAAATCTAACTTCTTTAAAACTAATATGAGAATAGGGCTACGAGCCTTAGATTCATTAAAATCTTTAATTCTATTAATTCTAATATATTGCGAAGAATATCACGTAATGTTGGCGTTTCGTCCCGGCTTCCAATACTGGACTCATCAGTAAGGTATTGTAATGGAAGCCTACCTTATTAGACGCCTGTTTTAGTTATTAAATCGAGATTCTATATATACAGATATACGCGTATCAAAGCACGAAGATATTTCGGCGCGCAATTTGGGGGGAATTTTCAGATAGAGTTGCGTTTCAAGACCGACGATTGTTCGGCGCGCAAGTTGGGGGGGGTGGGAAGGGAATACATATACATATATCACTTTGAATAATATATTGCGAAGAATATTACTACGTCGACCCGCCATCAGAGGTCTATAGATATTCGCTAAGATTCTCGCAAGTACTTTGATACGCGTATATCTGTATATATAGAATCTCGATTTAATAACTAAAACAGGCGTCTAAGGCAGGCTTCCATTACAATACCTTACTGATGAGTCCAGTATTGGAAGCCGGGACGAAACGCCAACATTACGTGATATTCTTCGCAATATATTAGAATTAATAGAATTAATAGAATTAAAGATTTTAATGAATCTAAGGCTCGTAGCCCTATTCTCATATTAGTTTTAAATTCGTTGAGCCTTATTACAATAAATATCTAACTTCTTTAATTAAACAATTCAACATATTCCGTATTTTTCTATCAGTACGATCTTACTCTATTACTACATGAAGAATTTATTGCCAAATAATTACTTATTAAATAATAAACAAAGATTAAAGGCTTATCTCAATGAAACTTGAAAAAACATTCAAACTCTAAAATTTTATTTTACAATTACTGTAGGCATGATCTAACAATGAATTTTCCACTAAATAGTTTTCAATCCAAGAGCAATAATTTCATGGTAGAATCAACAGATAGCATTTATTAGTTTAATAGCAGAAACGCCGCTATCTCATATTAAGCGCCTATCTCATAATAGGGGGCTTTCCTCTATCTACTATAATCGAACGAGCTATGAAAGAAAATGCTGTGCGGCGTTATATTATTCATGATGGAAGTGAGTTACGAAGAAAAGCGACGCGTAAGAAAATAAATGAAGGAAGCACTAAAGATCTCGTTTATTAGTCGACTTATTAGCGGTGCTCATGGGGTGAGAAAGGATAGACGCAGGGTGGTGAGAGGGAAGGACGCCGCGAGTGGCAGCAACGGCTTATCCTTCCCGGGAGAAAAATCGATTTATATAGTACTCGCGGGGTTTATGAACGCCCCCGCGGAAGAAAGGTAATGTCGCTTAGAAGCTACTTACAACAGAAGTTGGATAAAGTTTCACGGACAGAGAGAGAGCGCGCTCGCCCGTGTTTTTGCGTTACTTAAGGCACACCGCGCGCTCGGGCTAGAATAACACACGTCGCACATGGTCCGTCGCTATAGCGAAATCGCCGACACACACCGTCCGATGGAAGGCTAACAGTGACGCCGAAGTCGGTGACACATTGCGTCCTTACGTCAAGCGTTCGCACTGTGTTCGCAATACCGAAATTTTCTTATGCAAGACTAACTATTTTTAAAAGCGTCATACGAAAAAGAAATACACTCAGTTATACTTTTGCGTAAAAAAAAAGTATGCAATTAATCTCCTTTAACATTACAAAAGTGTTTGATTAATTTCATTATTATGTAAAACACGTTATGTAAACATTAATTTTTTTTTCAAAAATATGATAAACATATAAATTAAAAAATTTACATTTTTTAATTTTAACAATTTTCGTATTTATCTTATAAGCTGACATCTTTTTCTGTTTGAATAAACAGATAAATTTCTTTCAAACTCAACAAGTAAATGCCTGATCAAACAATCGTCATCAGGACCGGATAATTACCCTTTGTAATTATCCGGTGCCTTATGCTTTTAAAGGGAGTTTTAAAGGCGTTGAAAGGATATTAGGCAAAGATCGAGAATTCCGTACTATGGCATTCCCTGCTCTTTCCCGGTCATGCAGCATTAGTCATCCATCAGGAATTCCCGATATAATTTCTGCTCGGCTCCTTATTCTTGTTTTAATAACAAAATTCTACGGCAATCAACTATAAATTTTAATTTATTGTATAGAGCTTCCAGTTTTAGAAAGATAAAATAGTTACCTATAATTTTAAAAGTGAAAAGAGATAAATATTTTCTGTATATGGAATGGTACTACAACCTGTCGACAACGGAATTTTTTGAAACCTTTTAAATTATTATATTGTTTTATATTTATATCACTATAAAAAATATACATATAAAATACATATAAAGCTGAGCTTGCAAGATAAATAAAGTAAATAGAGTTTGTTTTTTTTTATTAAAACTGATGTATGTTTGTTTATTAATATTATAGAAACAGGAAAAACGTCACAATATATTGTTTTCTTAAATTGACTTTTCTCAAGATCGCTTTAAAAAAATATCTTCAAAAAATAACTTTATATTATAGGGAAAAATATTGTTCTTGCGGGAAAATGATTGATGTAGGACTAAAACCTTCTTCATCTGGTAGAGTACATATCACGTGATGTTCCGCCCTTTCTGTCCCTTCAATTTAAGAATGCAGTGTTGAAAGTTTGAAAAAAAAAAAAAATAATAAATAAACACGAGAGTAGAGAATTTTCTATTTTAACTTACGTTTACACTAATCCTGATATTTCTCCTATTACGGTTTTGCATCATATTATAATATTCGCGTTACGAAGGCGCGTTGACCTGTCTTTCACATACGTCTCTATCGAGTTGCTTTGTGTATTGAACGACGCATTACCAATAGTAAAATTTGGAGTCATTGAAGAAAATCTATTAGCTGTATAAATAAAGTTTCCGCCGTTTTTTCATCAAAAATTGGGCATTTATTGTGAATAGAACGGGTACCTAATGTTTTATTCGAAGTATTGTCCATCGCTAGCCACTACTTTTTCCCATCTTTCTGATAAAATTGATGGATTCCACGTCGAAAAAAAAAACAAAAAAACGTCGAAACTACGTTCTTTGTCTTCGATGTCAAATTCACCGTTCTTAAACTTTTGAAACCACTCACGGCAACTTCTCTCACTTAAGGCAGCCTCACCATAGGTATGCTTTTACAAGCAATCGATGCGCCTCAGCTGCATAGATTTCTTCAAACTAAAGAACTCGGTATTTTCACACGAAAAAAGATATATGATGCTGATACAAAATCGCTAATATTTCAATCGCTAATATTTCATCGCTAATATTATGTTGTTGCCAGACGTCCAACCTTATGACGTTTTACAGCAGACAATTTTAACCATAACATACTGGTGGCGCCATCTTTTGTCAAATTTATTTATACTTCTAATAGCTAATTGTAATCGAATAAGGCTAAAGTTAATTAACATTGGTATACAGAAATGAACGTTAAAAAAGATAATTAATAAACAATTAAATATAAAAATAGACTCTCGAAAATTTCATATAACAAGAATATATTATAAAACAATACACTACTAATTAGTAGTGTATTGTTTTAATTTTAAGTACTATAATATTTTTTATATGTTCGCAACACTAACAGCGATTTTACTCTCATTAGCGCCCTTTTATTCTTGTTATATAGATAATTAATAAAACTTGTATGTTATACAATCTTTATTAAGTTTGTTCCGTTGTGTAATTCACATAATTTAACAACTTTATGCACTAATAATAGACGTTGTCCGTTGCGGGACTTTCTTTCTTCAAGGAGCGCACAATCGATCCTCGAGAGAAAAGGAACCTGGGCGTCATGAAGACGGAATTGATACATTTTATTCGAGTTGTATGCGCCTCTTTGCCACCCGTGGCGACGCCATTCATTCTCGATACACGGATGCCAGCGGTTTGTGGTCTACGATGAAGTCGTTGACACCATAATGTGACGTGCAAGACCCCTCTCTCCCCAATTCATTTTAAAGAGCGGCGATCGCTCGATCTTACTGATGGGACAATAAGTTGTGCTGATTCGCATTTGTCGTAATGTCCTTACCGTCACTTTACTTCGCATATCTGATCGAGTGCGATATAAACAGTTTTGCTGAAATGGATAAAACTGAGATGAAAGCAAAGATTGAATACTGTAAAAGCAATTTTACATTTTAAAAAATCGGAAGGAAACTAATAATACAACATGATTATATTTATTTAATAAATATGAAAACAGATCAAGTAACTTTGATATATGCATTTTTCTTTACTTAAGCGTAGCTTATGTCTTATTTCTTCTTCACACCATAATAATTAACATAAAAACGTCCGTTCTAATTAAGAAATAATTGAAATTAAGACTTCTATTTTACTATATACTCAGAATGTGATTAAAACTAGGAAAACATGTGATAAAAATGTTTGCAAATTAGGTTTAAATATAAATATTTTTCAATAAATAATTATAATACGAAATTGGATCGATGAGAATAAATTTTTTAATAAAACTAAATTTGCAATTAATAGAATAGACTTTTTATAAAATGATTTGAGAACCATTTTTTCAGAGAATAAAATTTAAATCATATTTATTTCAATATATAATAATTTGAAAATTTGTGTCATAAGATGTCTACACTTATTTTGTTTTTGTTGTACATTATTTCTAAATATATATGTATATGTATACATGTGATTATGTATTATTAATTAGTGAAAGAAAAGTTTTCTATGTATTTCACAAGTCGATTTTATCGATTCCGAGTGTTTTTTTATTAAAACATATTTCTATATTAATATATTTTGCAAGAATTTTTAATGTATATATTCTCGTTTCTGATCCGAGATAATAGTGATGAATGAACAGGAGCCTGAAATGACGGTAATGACTTCAAATTGCGTCATTAATCTCAAATTAATTTCTCATTAATGAGACGATAACAAACATACAGTATAATTGCACAAATCTAATGATTGCTAAAATAAAATATTGTAATAAGAATTCGAATAATTTTGCCGGATAAATTTCGAAGCACCGCTCAGCTCAGAGTGACATTTCGCGCGATCGTTATAGCATAACATAACGATTTCGATACGCGCTTATTATTACGTACTCTCAATCATCATTTCAACATTCTCACTTTCCTCGTCCTCTCTGGTGCGCGGATGTACGTGGCATAGCAGCGCGCATTGACATTGATTCCCTTTGTCGGAGTGCACGAGGGTGACGCAGACGCGAGAAGGACGGTTGCGTAACAATGCGAAAACGCAAGAGAGCATCCGACGAAAAGCTCGTATCGCATTCCCATAAGTGGCGGAGGGAATCCCGCAGAGACGTCCTCGCCGTTCTCTACCCCACGTCCCGCGTTTCAACCCCCGTTTCGTCACCCCAGCTCGCATACGCTCTTTCTCGCTCTCACGCGAGATAAAGGGGGAGGCGCCAGGTAGGTGCATACACTGAGCGGTAGAGCGGCATCGCGGTGCCCCGTGGCGAGGACTGAATAACTCATAATTGGGCCTCCTGGCTCACTGCCATTCACGCCTCCGTCGCGCTACAAAGACGTCTCTCGTGTGAAGCAGGAGCGAAACCCCCGTAAGGCTCCGCATTTGCGTTTCGCTCGTATACACGACCGTCCCTCGGGGAGTAATCGACGATCGTCCAAGTCATGCTGAAGAGTAATTTTATCTTATCGCCTACAAAGTGAAATCTGGTTAAGTATTATCGGGGGACGATCGACTACTATTTATAGCGAAGTAATGTCATGAAGTTATTGATTACCGTATGATCAAGGATCGCAATGTTTCTTGGTGACTGAAAACGAGATACGTTCGTATATGTGAAGAAAACAGTTATGGTTTAACAGGGATTGTTTTCTTTTTTCAAAGAAACAACGCCAAAATACAGATGCAATCACATTACAAGCTGGATTAATTTTTTCATTTATTACATCGCCAACGCGTTTATCAAAAATACCATATTGTGACAAAATATAAAACAAGTATAATAAATTAAAGTTCTTTTTTAATAAGTGCATATTAAATTATTATTTAGTGTGACCTTTGCGTAAGATTCAATTGATTTTGGAGACTGCTTGATTAGTATTCACCCTCGTCATCTTCTTCGTCCTCATAGTCTATTTCAACATAATTCGGCAATTCATCACCGTGAATAAAATCGTCGCCATTCGCAGAACAGTTCCGAACTATTTTATCATCATACATAGTTCGTTCGATAGCAAAATCATCCTGATAATTCAGTTTCGCAGTAGAGAACGATCGATCAAACATTACATTGAACAGTCCGACATCCCTATAATTACGTTGTATGAAATTACGTTGTATGAAACTCGTTGTTGCAGCAATAAACGATCATCGATCGCAAATGTGTAGTTACGATAAAACGGGTTATGAATAATTTTGATGATATAAATTACGAAACAACCAGAGGAATTATTAATCAGAATAAAAAGTATCGTGAACATGGAATTTTTAAAGAATATTATTCTTTCTGAATTACTTAATCCTCAAATTTTGAAAACGCATTTGCCGACAGAAGTAAAATCCGAGAGAACTAACTTGGGGATAATTGGAATCGTGCCATTAATAATTCTAGAATAAATGTTGAACCATTTAAACGCATTGTCCGTCGAAATGATTGATTCGTTACGTGTGCTTGCAAACTTTTCAATACCCCGCTTTTCCGGGTTTTTACGTAAATTGTGGTTCAAGTCCGTCGATTTATATTCTGTGGAAACCATTTTGACTTTATCGCCCCTTTTCTCTTTTTCGAAGCCTTTCTTGCATTCATCCATTTCTTTGTATTCGCGATCTATTTGTTCCTTCATCAATTGTTTCATAGACTTTTTATCTGCAACGAACAATTAAAGAAATGTATCGCAATAAAAATTTAGTATAACTGTTCCTCTTTTATGAATCGTAATATGAAAAAAGAATTAAAAAAACCCATGATTCTCTCATAGAATTTACCTTTTACAGGTGGAGGTGCTTTCACTGGTTCTTTTTCAAGCTTTTCATCTACAACAACAAAAAATATAATTACAAATTTGTCAAAATTGAAGAATTTCTATAAATTATAATAAAAGAAAAAGTTAAAGAGATTTTTTAAGATATGATCCTGAAACACCCCCCGTATAATTAAATTAAGTAATATACAATATCTTTACAATTAAATATAACTTACCTTTTTTAAGGTCTTTTTTTCTGCTAGCACAAAATTCCTCCTGACGGGATTTTTTCGGGGATTCGCAAAATTTCTTGTTTTCATCTCTTTTCGTAGATTGACAGGTTTGCGTCTTATCAGCCTTTTTTCTCGACATACACTTAGCAGGACCTTTCGCGCATTTTTTTTCGATTTCCTCTTTTTCCTTGATATCGCACTTCATTCTTCGTTTCTCACAAGACGGAGCCTGTCTTCGGTCTTTCTCGTCTTTGCTGCAGCTAGTATAAAATCTCTCGCTTACATTTGTGCCGAGAATAATATCGGAAATTGAAGTGGAGAAGGATTTACGATCTCGCGGGACGAAGAAAATTGATTGTTTTGTAACGTCGCTTGTTGAGTAACATCGCTTTCCGTCCACTTTACTGCAGTTTTTATCGCTAGTTCGGGAAGAATTTCTTTTGCGGCAGCTGTTGGATCGCTTTCGATTGTTTCCGGGGCACTTTCGCTGTTCTTTCTTGCATTTTGATTCAAAATCATCTGTTTCTTTTAAGGAATCTTTGCAGACTACACGTGGTTCATCAGCTTTATCGCAATCGTCACGTTGCTTACATGATTTTGATTGTCGTCCTGATTAAAATGTTCAAATAAAACATATGGTAAAAAAAAATAAGAGACAATTGCCAAAATAAATTAACAGATTAATAGGAAACAGGAAATAGGAAAATTAGAGAACGGACAAATCAATACACCGTATAAAATATCATCAAGATGTGCTAAATACTAAATAATAATAATGCAATAGCAACTAATTTCAAATTAGTATGATGATGACAATAACAATAATTATTTTGATCTCTGAATATATGAGATACATCAATTTCAGATGTTTCGTGAGGTATCGAGTGAATGTTAAATTAAATTTGAATATTTCTTAACGAGAGAATTATTACTATCATAATAATGATTATGCCAATCTGCGTTACTTTTACCACATCTTCCGTCATCTACATCTTGCTTCTGTGAACAATTGAGATCTCTCGGTTGTCCCGCGCGGCCTTTTGACGAGACTCGTGCTTTATTTTCATTGCATTTCTGACGAGTCTCAGGACATCGCTCTTCTTCCCAAGTGCATGGCTTTTGTCGACTCAGTTCGGGACATATGTAATTGTTAGCGAACTTAGATTTTCTCTCTCGTTCTTCACCCACGTTATCTTGAGACGCGACGGACCTGGCCTTCCGTCGCGTCTTCTCGCAGATCTTTTTACTTTCGATCCGACAGCGGCTCCTCGCAATCTTTCGAGAATCAACGTTGCAATCTTCCTCGGTCTCGGCTTCGCGTCTCGATCGTTGTGCTTTATCATCCTCCTCACAATCGGCGAATTTTTTCGATTTTGAAGCGTCACGGGAAAACGATTGCAGTCTCATCAAAGAAACGCGATCTGCGAATGTCAGTCTCATTAAACGTCAGTCATTAGTGCACTAACATTATAGTTGCAAACTAGTTATAAAATGCTTTTCGTTGAATAACTGTATACACATATGTATATTCAAACAATATTAAATTGAGGATTGTTTAAAGGCTCTTGTCCATACGGATTTTCCGACCGATTTATGTCGGAAGTGAAGAAACACGATAAAATTTTTTAAATATATTAATATAGAAATATTTTTGAATAAAACAATATTAGTGTTTCAGAGTGTTGTAAAATATACCGCGGAAACTCTTCTTTTATTTCGAAATATAATAAAATCATATTTATTTTTATTTAATAGCTGTAATACAGCTTGTTTTGTTGTTTGTGCGGTTAGATATAATTTAATTTCAAATATATGGTCATTTATTGATTATCAGAATATAAAGGTATATTTTACAACTTTATTCTATTGCAAATATTGTTTTATTAAAAAATACTCACATTTTAATACAGTATATTTTTTTCACTTTGTCGTGACCCAAAATGACTGTAATGAATGAGCAAGAGCTTTAAGTTATAAATTTGAAAAATTAAGAATTATTGTATTTAATAGGACTTCAAGATACCTGAATGCGATCGCGTGTTTCTTAAACGAATAATCGATGTATTCGTGTTCAGATCCTTTTTCATGTTTTCGAATTCTCGAATAGATTGTTGAATCATGATGCAACTTTTTGAGGAAAATACGCGACACGGTACAAAAGGTAGACACAGCGAAGACTTTCGAAATCCTTGATATCCCGAACTTTCGAAGTAGGCAAAATAACCAAGTCGAGACGATGTTTTCAATGTTTCAAATGAAGATGGCGATGGCTTGGAGGTATTTGTTGACGTTTGCAAAACGCATCGAGAGGACTGCGAGAACTGAATCCGTTGCTTCGTTGTGCTCGAGAGATCTTTCCGCGTGTAATTCCGAAATTCTGGAGATTGCGGCGCGTCATATTTCTGTGAATATTGATCGAATATTGATTGTAATTTGAATTGATCTCGTGACTTTTGCTGCTTGATTTCTAGTGTTTTCAATTCTGACTTTGTGGAAGATGGAGAATCCAAACTTTTGCCAATAGTACAAGTCGACTCTTGCTCGATTGTATGATTAATTTTGGATTCTTGATTTCGTTGAGGAATTACTCTTGAAGTGCAATTATCACAGTGGACGTTATCAGATTTTATCATAGTATTGTCGTTACATACAAAATTGAGATCGTCAGCGTGGATGTACGAAAGCCTTTTGTTTCTGGACACTGAATTTCTATCTAATAACTTTTCGTACTTAATGAGAGATTTCAATACCTCCGGACGCGTTATTTCCGTACTCGCTTTGGGAGGCAAAGGCAAAAAATATGTGGGCGATCGAGAACTGTAGGTTGTCGTAGCGATTTCATGTAAAGTCATCCATGTTGTAAAGATAGGTTCCGAATTATTGGAAATTGTTGTTAAGTTAATTCCTCTGCCCTCATGAACGTTCTCTTGCTTGCGAGAGGAGTTGAGGAAATTTGAAAGACAACGTTTAAATGTATTCGTGGGCACGTGCGTCTCATGCTAATTTATGTGTTCGTAAAGAAAAATATTATTCAATCTATAAACACAATTGAATATTTTTCTATTTAATATAATTTTAATTATTTCTATACATTTATATATAAATATTTATTATTTATTTTGCTGTTTTTCCTCTTCTCAGATTAGTTTTCATTAGATTTATGTGTCACATTTTTACATTTTACTTTTAATATATAATTTATTAAAGATTTATTAAGAAACGTTATTATGAGATTTAATATCTTCTTGTCACATTATTTATAACAAAATTATTAAAGAGAGGTTAATTTTGTGGAATACCTGCAAGGTTTTAGTGGGCAGAATATATGATAGGTCATGCAATGCCCATATCCTGAATCCACTCATGTTTGTTCTTATTCGTGTAATATTTTTAATTGAATTAGTTTCAAATTCAAAATCTACTTGGAATTTTGAGGGTTTGAAATAACAGAAAATTTTGTTATAAATGTCAAGAATGGCTTGAAGTTTTCAGCGCATCGCTCTAAAAGTAACATTGTGTTCAACAATTGACGATCAATCGACTACGTCTGCTAATAATATCGCAAATCGAAAAACTTACGAAAATCAGATTTCCTTGACATCATTACATGCTGAATATAATATAAATAAGATACGATTATTATAACGAACAAGAACACAAGTACATGTGACAATTTCTTCCTTTTAATGATCGAGAGTTAACAAATATATCGGCTACAGAATTTTCTGACTTTCTGATGATAAAAACGCATCATCCATACACGCGCCTTTGAAATCGAAAAATCTTATTACGCAGAAAAATCTGATTGGACGTTGGGTTGAATGTGTGTAATACAATATTTGCATTTGCTGCAGTTTTTAATGTAATGTAACGTAATGCTCGTCGCGCGAACGGGTTTAATGATCAGCGAACGTGACTCTACGCTTGCTAACGTTTGCTTTTCTTCCTCCACGAGCCTTGACCTTCTTCGGAAACACGAATTTCAAAGCCTCGAGATGTTCATTAGGTTCCTCCTTTGCAAACTCATCACCATCTTGCGCGCTATCGTCGGACGTGGTCGGTTGCAACGAACTCCAAAATTGACTCTGTATATATACGCATTTATGAGCAATTAACTTCTATTACAGTTGAGATTGTTATATTTAATATTAATTATAACTAATAATTTTTTGAAAAGTTATAAAAGTTACGTCGCAATCTATGATTTATAAATTCACAAATTTGCACTGTGATTATTATCGTACGAGAACCTTCTTTTATTAACCTTGATGTCAGAAGATTGCTCTTTACGTATTCATGTTTACCTGACACTGAGAGGTGGAAGTCGACTGGTTCGGATCCTGCTTGGATAGTCGCGCGGTACACGAACTTCTGTCCAACAGAATTCGCTCCTCGCTGTTCTCCATTGATCGAAAATCGAGCGAAACGGATCCCACAACTTCGTCTCGTTATTATCGCAAGCGTGCACCTTCGAGATGCACAAGAGTTAATCGAATCTTTGTACTTTCAACATGATTTCAATTAAATAAACCTATATGTATACATATATTGAATACTCAATACTGAAGACCGTTAATGTAAGAACATAACTAATACGAAGCCTATAACAGTTTAGCTTGGATCTTTTAATCGCTTACATATAAACTACCGCGGTACTATCCAAGCTAAACTGTTACAAGCTTCGTATTTTGTATTAGTTATGCACATATATTGAGTCACGATATAAAATTAACGTTATTCTTACCGATATAACGTTCTTGAGAGTAGAAAACAATCTTATTGAATTTTTTAAAGTGGAAAACAATTTTTGTACAGCGTAGATACTGTTTATGTTCATGTCAATTTTAAGATGTATATAATTTGTATAATAATCCTTTCCTCGGGAAAATTTTAGATTTTAGTAACCAAAAAAGTATTTTGTCATTACGTTTCACATTACGAAACAGATTACGATCGGTATTCCAGGACGTAAATTTTCATGATGCAAGAAGACATTTCCAATGCAAGAGACACGATGTAAAAATGTGCAAGCGTATTTGCATTCGTGAAAGTATTATAAAGCGATCATATAATTTCTCAGAAAAGACTGAAAGTTTTAATATATAATTTTCTTAAGTATTTTAACATACACGTGTAACACAATTTTTCGTAATTACATGCGTTTTCTATTCGTCCGTTTATATTCCTAATTAAATATTGCGTACGCATTTACATTATCGCGTGTATACTCTGTCGTTTGTGAAGAACATACTGTTGTAATCAATGTAATCATCGCGTTGCACAATACTGTCTGTTCAAGTTGAGTACATCTACGAAGCGTTACTTAATCCATATAAGGGTGTTGGGGAACTTGGAACTTGGTCTACGTCGTTTCCGACCGCATTAACGAGCCAAGTTCCCGTTGTTGACGGCTGATACTCGCAGGGGAGTAATTTAATCGTGCACTTTGTTGCAGACGGTGCAACATATAGTTAATGAGTAGAATCGGTAAAGCAGTTCGCATAAGTACGAAAGCACGAAGTTGCACAAATTATATATCAAAAGGGGCGGTAAAGGATTGAAAAAAATCAGCAGGGTTTGCTGATCTCATATTTTATGATCATTAGAAGTAAATTCCTTTCAAACTGTCCTCAAAATTAATCAGTATAAGGGACGACAGAATTTATCCGTCGCTGACGGATTTAACTTTGGCGCTAATTCTTTAATACATTCATAGATCCAATTCATTTAATTTTTATTCATCTAACTTTATATCATCTATATTTATAATAGCCATAATAATAATCGATATTAATTTGTAAGAATTAATTGGATGAAGTGGTTCTATAAATTTATTAAACAATTATCACCGCGCCGAATTATGTTCTTTGCACGTTCGCGTCCTACTAAGATCAGTTCAACAGGATCTATTTAACTCGAGTATATTTCTACGTCTGACTGATTCGGTGCTCGTGATACGCGCGACGGCAATCAACTTTACTTAATGAATGCCATTCGCGCGAAACGAGTGCATTTCTCCACGGACGCCTCGAGTTCGATTAATTCGAAACAAAGTTAAAGTCAGGTGACGTCCAGCCGACGCGGCAGCGCGAGCGAGCGCAATCGAGCGAGTGCAAGCGGGTAACGTAATACGGAGTCAGACTACCTGAGCGATCTGACAGCCAGCTTGGAACAAAATCGGTCGACGCATCCGATCGTCCGGCACAGCTGGGTTTTACGAGGCAACATTAAATTACAAATAAATTTCACATAACACATCGAGCCGAAGCGTTACACAAATATGGTTGAAGAATAATAAATGTAATCTGGTATACAAGATGCTCTCGGCTATACACGCGCAATTAAACGATTGCAGCGATGAGTATATCAATAACGAAATTACTAATTAACGTAAATAATATGACAGTAAATTAATATTTCGTTATTTATACACATATTGCATGTTATATATATATATTCAGATAAATTATATAACAAAAAAATAGTATAAATATATAGTATTAATTATCAACGTAATCTGTACTACTAAAAGTACCTATTAGTTGTAAAGAATCAAAATATCGACCAATGTTACATTTTTTTTTTTTTTTTCATATTCAATTGATTATATAAAATCTTTATTTAAAATTTTGCTGTACAATTTTACCTACCTTAAAATTCAGTTGCTAAAATTATTTTACGTATTTATTATTGTCGAGCCTTCTACTGTTTTTATTTAAAAATTACTTTGTCACACATTTTGTATGATGCATATAATAATGTATTATTATACGCAATGACTCGAGCGAGGAAAGCCGGGTTTATTGGAGCATGCTCTGTGAAAGAGACAAACGTCAGCGACGAACAGATCGATTATTCGCATCCATGGAAACCACAGTTGGACCAATGCGAAGAGGCTATTCTTCTTTTTGGCCAGACGCGTCTGCCTTTTCCACTCATGCGGCTTTGATTATTGTATTATAAATAATTTACACATATATGGATATAATATAATATGTAACTTTTCACAAGTATGTCTAACTATTATTTTGCGTAATATCATATATGTATACATCTTATTTTATTTTATTTGGATTTAAAATTATTTTATTTATTAGGGATGTACAAATTAGTTCGGTCCGTTTTTTGTGTTTTCAAAAATGCATTTATTTCAAAACAAAATGAATGAACAGATTAATTAAAGTATTGTCCATCGCTGCGGCTACTACTTTTTACCATCTCTCAGGCAATTTTCGAATTCCATCTCGAAAAAATGACTCGTCTTTGGAGGCAATCATCTTTTGGAAAATGGACCGAACTAATTTGTACTCCCAATAATTATATCGAGTATGTATCAGAAGTATCAAAAGTATGTGTGCGTGTATTTAGATAACAGAATTTCATTAAATGTGATTTGTTAATTGTCAATTAAGTGATAACATTAAAAGAAAAAAGTTACTCGTAATATACAATACTCGCATAAATATTACGTAACAGTAAAAGCGTAAAATTTAGTAAATACAGATATTAACTTATCAGTCAATGTATGTATTTACTGAAATGTATACGTTTATTGTGACACACACATACACACACGCACACAAACGGCTCGCAATATTATGCTTTTACTATAAATACATTTACTAGAAATAGTAGACGTTCTTATATTTAATTGATACTTTTGCTAAACTCTTACGGATATACATACATTGATTAAATTTATTATGTGTATACCTAAATTTAAAACTTTTATTGAGACATATACATAATTGTAATTATAAAATATAAAATTGTATTATAATTATTAATTTGTTTATTAATCCACACACAAGCATTAATATTGACGAGTACTAATTAATAAATTATAATATAAATGTATAGTACACGTGTAAGTTAAATTATATTCTGTTACAAATAGAATGGAAAAGAGATAAAACAAGACTGCATTAAACCAGTGGTCGTACAAGAAAGGGAAGAAGGCGGAGCCACTTCTCTCACCCTTAGCTTCGACGAGACTTCCTTGTTGTTTGCATAACTCATAAATTCCGATAGAGTATAAAAGATACGATGCAAAAATGCCACGTAATCTACTGTAGCTTGTGGGCGTGAGTATCGGAGCAAGAGCTACAGCCACACTCGGAAACGCATATAAATCTTTCGGTATAACTTCCGGCTTTCCTGTCCTCGAGGCCTTATCGAAGGAAGAAACGGTAACGGTAACTAACTTTTGCCTCGAAACCTTCGCTTCGAAAACGCGATTCTTACGAACGCTTGTCTGATTTTTAAACGTACATATTAGCTGCACGTACAAATTTACGTATTAAGTGTGTTATTAACATTTTTTATGCAACAAATAAATATCGTCACAGTGGCAGAGTTTGTGTAATTATATCGCGTATAACACTTTTGACATATAATATCGTATTATACTGTACGTTTATACGTATTTTCCGTATAACATTACAATTTTACGTGATGCACGCTATGCCCTCGAGCTTTTTTGTGCAATTATAATTCGGTACATATAATTATTGTTACTCCAATCATTATCCTCGTTATACCTATTGACATCTTTTATGTTGT